AATTCGCACACCCCTCAATAGAATTCTTATTGTTATCTAACATAATACTCCTAACCTCAATACTACTGCCTAACACAGGCGTCTTAACGCAGACGTCCATAGTTATAAACCGCTAAACTTTGTATTTGCTTTCAATAGCCATGTCTCGTAGCTATACTGCAGAACGGAGGGAACTGCTGCAAAATACATACGTCCTTTAAAGGGGAGCAGCACCTTATGTCTGTGCGAAAGATAACTCGGAATAGCAAATGTCAAATAAGCAATCAGTAATCATTTTATCCGCGAAAGAAGCTATTGAAGCGGCCCACACACTCAACCATTTCCTGTAACATCATCTTACTTCTAATGGATATGAATCACGTTCCAAGGTGTTCATTTTCTTGCATACATGATGCCAGTTTAGGATTGACAGATTACTCTGGGCTTTGACTCAGAGTTGTCACCTGTTATCTACGAAGTTCTTTATGCATAATCACTGTTACCATTTTAGCATCAAATCGTATAAGTTTCTTAAGGGCACCAATGGGCAGTAAACTAAACTTCACTATTCTATGTGCTAATCTATTGTTAACAGGCGGCTAATTCATTAATTGCCAATGAACCAAACACTGGGATTGAACACCATATAAGTTTGCAACAATCAGCCCAACCTAATGTTTTATTTCTTATCTACAGTCTTTAACATGAGACCTTAACAATTTGTGCCTATAAAAAATGCTGATTAATTGTTCAAAAAAAAGTATTAATCTTTTTTTTAACTATCACATTACACGTTTTTGTAGCAAAACACTAATTATGTACACTTGTAAAAGTTGAATATACAGTGTTGATAACTTTCTCTTATAGTTGATATCGATCAGTTTCTAATATGATATTTCCTCGTGATACAGACAATTCAACGCTTCAAATTGTGATAATTAGGCTAACGAATAAAGAGGCATAAGTCTAATGAAAAAAAACATGGATGAGAAAGCTAAATCTAATACCATTCTTCTTCTTCTTCCTTTTGTTCTTCAAATCTCATCACAACCACATCCTATCTTTTGAAGATGATCGACTTTCACTGTGATAAATACGTTGAGCAAAAGATAGCTTAGTACTTGTTACCCATCACAGAAGAAATGTATGATCACTGTTGAACATCCTGTACTGAAGAGAATAAACTCGACAAACCCTAGAAATCAACCGTTTGGAAGCATAAAAGATAGACACTGTCTGTGCTCACTGGAATATATTATTAGTAATAGGTTAGGAACATATTATATTAAAATAAATGAGGGAATTCAATCTAAGAGACTAAATCATGATATGTATGAATAAATTAATACACTAAGAAGTCTGAAGGTTTGTGTGTACTGTAAACCAACAGCATGTACATTCAGGTCAACTGATTATTCATTCAGGTTGTTTAGATCTCCTTAATTTACTGCGCAGTTTTGCACATCAGAAGCACACATGAAATTTGATCGGTTCCAGTTACAGAAGACAGGCAGAAAGGATAGATGAAATGGTGGTACTTTCCAATATCTGACAGAATATACCTATCAGCCTAAGGTATTTGTAGTTCAGATATGTTTTCGCTTTTACTTTTTCAACATCTTGACACATTCTCTGCTAAGATTTATCAAAAATTGATTGTTTTCAATGAACAGCATCGCATACTTGCTAATACCAAATGACGCTTACTCCACTGCTTTATATTTCGATTAGCCATCTGTCAAAATGTCTCAATATATTACGCTGTAGTACGCAAACGTGAATTGAGGCGCATCGGAATTCATTTATAGATCAAAAGAAATACTGTCACTCTGTCAAAAGTTGATGCATGGACTTGGTTTTCAGTTGATTTGCGTTTTAGACGTGTGTGTATGTGTATGTTTGTATGCATGAATAGAGCGTATGTTTATATGTATATTTACATAGATACATAAAGATGCGTAACCTGAATAGGAATACAAGCGTGTACATGCACACACATAAATACACTCAAACACTAGAATGCCAAATGATTATGGCATTGGAACGATGATAAAAGAAACTGACAGACTAAATAGTGAGTATGAGTAGAAGACGTATTTGCTATGCCATTGTTGTTGATGATGCTGATGCTGACGCTAATGACGATGACAGTGATAATGGGTTTGGTTTTTATGATTCATAAGCCTTCTTTTATTGCTATGACTGACAGAAAAATAGTGGTTAGTACTGCTACTTTCTTATGCTTTTTTGTGTGTTAGAAAAAGAAATCACTTTTTTTTGACTTTACGCTTACAGAAAGAGATGTGAATAATTGAGCGTCTAGTTAATCGGTATTTTTCATCAGATTCATCACATGTGTACATTCTTTTTTTTCTGTCTAGTGAAAACTGATTTCGTCTTGCATATTGTTTTTTTTTTTGCCTTTGTTACTCTAACATACTTAAAACAAGGTGAATTTTAAAGAGTTTGACAGAGGCTGGACTGCTTGAAGAGTACTAGGGATATTTATGCTAGACCACTGTCTTTTAAAAACATAAATTATTCTACTACATATTTGGAGCTCATTAAATCACTAGACTACCTAAATTTTCAATCCGTCAAAACGCACCGTGTTTACTGTGTTTCATATTGTTTTAATGATCTTATTACTATGATGAGACACATTCTATACTCAAGCGCAATTCCATATAAGTTTATAAGTATTGCTAATTTTCCGAGGAAAATGAAGGAGGAACATTTTGAAGTAGTGCTGGAGCAAGCTTCAGCTGGAACAATATTGATTCAGATGATATGTCATCATTTATTAGATTACTTGGAGATCTCCTACAATGAGTAAATGCTTTGCAATGAAACTCACTGGAAATTCTGTATTGTATATAAAGCTATTGTATAATAAAGTTATTATTAATAATAATAAACCCTCAAAATATATAAATTAAGTAGAGGATGTTTTATTCTGATTGATGTAATGTAGAATTATTATTGCCTCCGTCCCGACTTAATGTCGATCTGTTTAATAAATCGACTGTAAACTAATCAGTAGCATTCTGAGATGTATTCAGTAGGATATTAGTTAACTGATGGAAGTCCTGCGTGAAGACGAAGTGGACTGCTTTCAGTTCTTTTTCTGAAGGGTGTTGTGAATAAAATGATGTAATCTAAATATTCTAGCAAAAGTGATTATTTGTTTATTTCATGTTACCCCACATAGAGAATGGAATTCACTTTAATACGCTTATCCAGTTACGTATGTTTTCACCAATGAAGTAGAAATACTTTAACCTTGATAACATTGATGGAAATACCCCACTATAAAATTAATATTCTGACCTGTGAATAGTCCAGTGATATGGGTGTGAACAAAATCCTCGTTGAGTGTCATGACTATTAATACACTGGGTAGTTTGCGCTACAGAAATTCCTACTATTGTCAACAACAACAACGACAGAACGACACGATGCTCTACCACCGAACCTGCAACTCAAGAAGACAGACTGTTGACGTGGAGAGCTTTTATTGCCTCTAATCAAGAGTGACGAGAGTTGAGAGCAGTTGCGTATATATATATATATATATATATATATATACTTCAAGTGGCCTTGAGAGACACGAATTACACAGACGAATTAAGACAGTCAACTACTAATACGGCTCAAAGGTCATGAGTGGGAAGAATACAAAAAACTGTACATTGTTAAGATAAGTGTTCCATTTTAGAAAATTCAGGTCTATATAACATTCAGATAACTAGGACTTCATGAATCCAGAAGAAACACATGAGTGAAAGGTTTCCTTTCTGACAAATCCCTAACAACACGAAATGCTCGAACTGTATTCAACCACTAGCCAAATCCTGTCAACTAACCAACGCAGAACTGAGACAAAGGCTTCTCTAGGGCATCTTTACTGAGAATAGCCATGTATCTACAGACACCAATCGTCTTTGTTCAATTAGGCAGATGGCGGAAAAACACCTGCTTCAATCAATAATCCCTCAGTTTATTTTCTCTAAAGTCAACATATAAAGAATTGTCTTAACTGGACGACCAAGGGTTAGAGCTTTTTGGACTAAAATCATTCACAACAATCAAGAACAGTTTTGTTTGCCACCGCAAAGGGACTGCCCACCAAATGGTCTATGCCGGTCATATGGTTCACCCCTGAACAGTGTCAAGTTCCTTTGGTTTAAAAGACAGCAGAACCAAGCAATAACAGAAAATAATTCTTTAAGACTTCACCTTTTGATTCAGGCATTAATTTCAGCTCGGAAAGTGGAGTATCCGCACATCAGTAGTTCTTATGCCTAGAATAGAAATCAGAAAATGCGTAGACGGCTGAGGTTCTAATATTGTTAAAAACCACTACTATTATACTTCAGAATGCTACAACTATATAGATAGACGTAACAGACATCGCTGGCATCATCTGTCAGATTATCACTGACATTACTTTGCATCAAGTGTTTTGTTAAGGCTGGTAATAATTGTCTTGGTTTATTGCATTGCTTCCCACTAAACAATAAAGCTAATTACCCTCTGAAAAAGCTACGGGAGAACTCATTTACAATTCAACATTCTGTCAATAAATATTAAAATGTCTTTCTGTCTGTCTGTCTGTCTGTCAGATTATTTCTAAATTATTTTAAAATGCGCATTATCAGAACTTAATATTTTATTAAATCACGTGGTTTAATTTCACATTAAACGATGTAACATCTGATTCATACAACGACAACAATACTTAAGTTATCTAAACCTGATTGGTTCAAAAATGGTCCAATCAGAATACAGCCAAAAATGTGGTTTCAAGCCCAGTAAATATATTATTGGTTAAACAAATTTGAATTCACTATACTATATTAGTTTATTTACTAACTATTACACTATTATTAAACTAACACATCTGAGTGGAAAAGGTTGTTAGCGGTGCACTAGTGGAGATAACGACATCACATCACTGCCAACGAAAAAGAAGACTTAATACGGATATATTTTACAGTAGAAGTCAGTTCAGTGAAGTTATGCGTATACGGCACCCTAAATTCGATAGTCCCATTCAATCGCCGTCAACAACTAATGAAATGAGAAAACATTTAATCAGTTCATCTCAAGGATCTTCTTTTAAAATGACAGAATCACAACAGTGTAAATCAAGGCAAAGTTCACCGCGTCTTTCTTCCACTGATGGACACGTGTCATCAATATCTGGTATGTCAGAATCTGGTGAAGATCCAACCAATACCTACCTAAATCCGGATTTTACTGACCCACAATTAATGACAAAAGTAAGCAAAGTTTTATATATCTCACTTTATTTAGTTTAAATTAGTAAACCGTATTTACATATATTGTGTTGTTTTGCACAGGAAACTATAACTTCGGCAAGATGAACACTTATTAGACGCACGTGTAGTCATATCAAATGGTCGAGTCAAAATTCACCACCGTCAGACTGATTTAAAGTACTGATAGCAGTTTTCAAGTTGCTAAGTGAACTACAACCAATATAATGAGATTACTTTGTAACCAACTTGTATTAACCACAATCGATTTCATGAAAAATCCACTTCGTTAGATGCCAAGTAGACATTTTATTAAATGTATTCGACAGTACAAATTACCGCTTTAGCATTTACCCCACCCATGCATGTGGTTTGGAGTTCGACTACAGGCTGACGCCAGTCATAATCTCGACAAAGAGGGTAGGTTACGTGTGAGGCTAGTAACTCCACCCCGTAAGAAAAACTGATACTGAAGCTGGAAGGCCCAAGGCTGAAGCCGTATGTTCCACTGGGAATGCAAAGGAATAAAAATGTTTCGGCATTTAACACTTACTTTTGTCCGAATTGTAAAGTACATCGTGCTGAGTAACTCATAAAACTGAACTGAAGATCGGCACCTGTAATCTATATTCCTTTTTTAACCTACTATTCGTTTTGAAGAGCGAGAAAATCAAGAGCAAGACAAAATTTCATTCCAGTTGTCATCCTAATGATTTCACGAATTCATCACTAACGTCTATTCATTAGATTTCAGTTGCAGTCAAACCTAATGACAGTGAACGACATAGGTTATGTGTTCATAACTATTGTTGCAACAATATGCCAAAAAGGTCTTTTCATGCAAGCAGTTTACGAACGTATCATAAAACCCTAAACTTAGCCAAGCCCAAGCTTCAAAATGAAGCCCATTTTATTATTATTATTTTGTCAGGATATTTCTTGGTAAAGTTGTGAACTAGCGGGTTAGAAGTCATATGCAGCCCACTTTTCTACTAACTAACTGAACACGTTATTACTGTGTCGTAAAGTGGTAATCTAATTCCCTTATATCGCGCATTGATTTGTTGAAACAGTTACGAAAACTATACAATGTGTATAGTAAAACAATCCGCCTTATTGTGTTATTAGAGTTTTTGAGTGCAAGACACCAATGGATTTTCAAGTCTCATATGATATCCCTATTTTTAATGAACGACTTCATTTCTTCAGGTAGGATCCGAAACCTTTTCTTAGGGAAGGTGATTATCTGGAGTTATGTCATCTATAAACTGAATAGTCGTATACTGGTTGGTTAATAAGAAATACACTATCATCCGGCCGAAAGGTGAAGTTTTAATCTGATTCCTTTGAACATTTTGGATTGATTAAGTTAACAGTTACCCTGTGCATCTCTGATTTGGGGCATCAGCGTTCCATTTCATATTTTAGCTAAATTTATCACTTCACTAGTAATCTATGAAAATCACCTTGATGTATTTATTACTCATTTTAGTAGTGAAACAAGGACAGACATACATAACTCTGGCTTTTGTTTTGCATCAATGTCTGGTATAGTCTTAGTTGCGAAAGTTGTCACTTAACAAACTGACCTGTATTACTTCGTCTTACAATCCCCACATCAGTTAAAATATTTTTCCAATCTTTACTTCTGTCTTTATTTAGTTAGGAAGACATTATCTTTCGCATATAGGAAAAAACTAAACTCCCCATGTTATATTTAACAGTTTTCGAATTAACAAACATTTCTGAGCATTCATTTTATTGGTGAATAAAACGGTTCCCACTCTCTCGTGGCCTGACTAATTATCAAATTTTATTGACTTGTATGCATAATTCAGTTGAGTTACGTGTTTTTCCCGTGAATTGTTTAGTTTACTAATATGTGTATAAAGGAGAAATTAAACTGGTCTTTAGTGTATAGCATATTAGAACTAAAGTTACTGATATGAAAACCTGAGATCTCTTAAGTTATCTCGTCTAAAATCCAGTTTGAAAACCAAATTTTTGTTAATTTATATAATTATCTCTGTCATATGGCTGCAAGCAAGCAACATCAGCACACAGTGTTACACAGTATCGTGTCACGGTAAAACACGTGACATGTGGCAAAACGGTCTTATCACAACTTTGAGGGACGGATGTAGGTAAACACTAGGGATTTCACAGGTACATAGTTTACTACCTGGATAAGAATTTATGAAATCTGAGAGTAATCAGTAAATCTGACAGGATACTAAGACACTTTAAGATTGTAGTAATTTGTTGAACATCTCTCGACCTCCTGAATGTAATCCACTTTCTAGAATATACTATTAACTAATAGAGGTGTTCCTGTTGGATTAATATAAATGTAGCACTTAGGCGCTATGGTGGAATGTAGCTCCGTAGTAGATAAGATAGTATGACAGTATAGTGCTACTGTTTGAGCACAACTTGTTGCTCATAGTCATATAAGTATGTTCGTTTCTCTTAGCAGTCTGTGTTACTTGTTTTGAGAAATAAACTAGCCTTTTTTGTTGACTTCTGTATATTCAGGGGGAGAGGGCAGTTTTGGTTATTAATTACTATCATTATTATCCCAATTTATCAGCTAAGAAATATTTTCTGCATAGATCTGGGCGACAGGTTTCTATCACTCATAATCCACTGATAATGGGAGTTGTTTTTAAAGATTTCAACAACAAATAAATTCACAGCTTGCTGCTGCATAATTGTCATGGTTGTACTTTTCTGTCGCTTTAGCAGAACTTTTTATTTTATATATTTGTTTTCGAATAAGGTAAATTACAAAAATACAACTGCTCTGACTGTTTACTTTGGTAACTGATTAGCTATCAAACTATATTGGCTTCTGGATATGATTGGGTGGCTACCGCTACCAGTGGTCGTATGAAGCATGATTGTAGACAAGCAACACTGACCGATCGTTTGCGCGTAAACAGTAATAAAAGGTATCACGAATAATTGTATGAGTGATTTATCATCTTTAAGTTAGTGATACGTGTTTATATATGCATATGTATTTATTTTTTTGAGAATTATAAATATCTCTTATGATACAGAGATTATACTTTCATCTCACCTTGACATGCGACAATAATTTATAGAATCCGAAGTCATTCTGCCTATAGTGTGATTAGGAGGATTTCTCAGCATCGACATAAAACAGCAGTTAACTGAAGAGTAATATTCAGAATAAGTGAAATCATATTACCCGTCTGTTTTCCAGGCAGAATAGCTGACAGGTTTTTCACTAAATTGTTTTATTCCTATCTCTTCTGAGCATTCAATCAAGTTGAGCGATAAATACCTCAACCGCCTAAAATTCACTAATTCTTGTCCTCAGGAAAAATGAGAACTATCTTTGTGGAATTTGCTATCTATGCATTCAGTGATACTCATCTTCTAGGATAACCACAGTTAGTCATTACTTTTCACTCAATAGTAGTCACGAGTCATTCCCCTGAGTTGAATGCATCAGATTTCTAGTGTTTTCGATTATGCTAGATTTCGGTTTTTGGTGATGCATACTGTATTTTAAAGGTTATTTTCGACTACTTCTAGATATTTTGATTTGAAAAGATCAATATTTGCCTTCCATTTTTGCAGAATAATGGAGATAAGATGGCAAGGTTCTGGAGGCTAGTAGTTATTGATCTAGTCAAAGTCTGTGTTCATCCTTTAAACCGAAATGTTAAATGTATTAACATTTATGAGAAGAATGGTTTTTTAGAATCGCTGTTCACTGCTCCTACAGACAGCTTATTTTACTAAATCAAACTTTTGTTTATCATATTACTAGTAAGAAATCTAAACGAGTACGGTCGCCATTCTTATCGATTAGGTTTGTACATTGTCAACTATACTGATGCATTAGAGAAGCAATGTAAACCATGACATACTATTTTTGCTCTACACTACTATAATAAGATATAATAAAACGCAATAATAAAGAATTGAAATAAAATTTAGTAGACAAACTACTTAAATTCATAGCATTTCTAAAAGATTCTGCTTTGAAATTCTGTTTAATAGGTAGTAGAAATATATATATATATATCATCTGCTCATGAAAGCTGTGTAGGATTCTCCCTGTTTGAGTGTTGTCGATGCCTTGGATGTACACATAGCTAAAACAGTACGCTATCCACAGAAGATTTTAATATTCTGCTTATTTGTACTTCTGAATCAATCAGTTTTAGAATATGTGATCTCTAGTTATCATATAGGACCCTTATAGGTAAAAAGTGCAAGGAGCGACTGTTAATGGAGCTATGATTGCTCCACAAATTCAATGAATCATAGTGTGGAATTGCAGAGAACATCTATTGGTTAAAATGTAGGTGTTCTGGTTGAGTTGTTAGCTGGACCGTATTTTTCGGATACAGGTTCCAGCAAAATTTCAGTCACTACATTCTATGATAAATGAAGACTTTGTAAATGCTTCATTTTGATAGATTTATATCCCCTAATAGTCAGAAGTAATCAAGACTCATTGAATGACATCAAGGTAAAACTACATACAAAATGTAGTCAAACTACAATTCTGGAACGTGTATTGAGGATGCGAAATAATTAGATGAGGACTAATGAGAATTCTCAGGATCTAAATTATAGCAAATAGTTAATACTTTCGCACCATTTAGAACGATTTCAATCCATGTCACCGACAGTCTCCAACTATTGATTCTTAGTTAGTATTCCGTGCCTTCCAGTGTAAAAGGCAGTCTCTGCATGTCGTAAACCAAAAGCCGAAGGCTTAATCGACTGACGTCATTGTTTTCGTTTAATCACTTAAGGTATTTTGATAGTCTTAGCCTTCTTTGGATGACACTGCTTGTCAAGAAATGCGGTAGCTAGTCATGCATAACAGATGCCTAGGTCACGGCTCCACCGACTGAATTTCCCCCTTTATCAAACATTTGATGCATGACCTTATGATAACTGACTTTTTTGCTTCCGCTAATACAAGAGATTGGACGGAAGCATCCGTTATAAATTATTAAACGTGAAGATCCTGCTAAAACACATGGTGTTCTCAGCAGCCTATATCATACACAGTAGTGCACACAAAAGCATTACTTAACATTGTTATACTTACAGAAATGTTTAAGTTAGCTAAGGTTATCTATTGAAGTTAGTGAAGACCAATGAGAAGTGTTTGTCCGGTCTCCTCGGAAATGAGGGACTGAAATCATTAAAAGCATCATTATTACCAATCATATCAGTAGTTAGTGATAGCCTGCTTCATGAAACGAAATAAGGATGATAATAAAATAAAGTATCCACTGGTCCATATGCTTTTTACTTCAAAGTCATGCTTGTTTACATCTCCAGTCCACATCTCACAAATGACGTGGAGTTAATAAAAGCACCACGTACTAAACATCTTACGTGGTAGAAAAAAAAGAGAAAACAACGATTAGTCGAAATGAACATAAACGCACAATGTTCAGGATTCGTGACTTCAACATGAAAAAAGAGAGTAAATCTTTGTTGATTATAATGAGCAGTACAGATAAGGCAAGATCATTACATGTATCGATTAATCATTAATGTAGCTAAATAAGTAAACAAAATTTCTTATTCTTTTATGATTATCAGTTCGATTTGTCAGTCTTTCTGATCGTAAATTTGTTTTCAACATCATTCTCTTTTCCGCCTCTATTACCATGAGAAAATACCACCACTATCCTACCTCCATCCTTTACTGCCACCATGCTTAGACTATAATCCTAGATATTCAGTAAAACCACAAGTAATAAATTGATCTAGTCTTTTACTCCCTTCATACTTACGCTTTGTGTACATCTTTCGTATATAACTTCAATCTCTCTCTAACCAGCTAGCCAATTGTGTGAGTAACTGAGTAGAGTAATCGTTACTGATAGTTGTGCTGAATTATACGCACCGCTTTACCCCTTTTTTCTTATTTACACATTACCTGACCTAGACATTTGCATGTATCCTTCACAGGTTGTTCACACATACTAAGTTTGTTTCCCTGCAAGCAGAATAAGAGACCACATTTTACCTCGATTCACTTTTGGCTTCAAACATCTCTTTGTTGAAAAAACAAACAAACAACCCTGACAGCTTTTATGCGAAGAATAACTATTATGCTTTCTTATAATACCCTTTCACAATATTGCTTCTTTTTCATCTCATTTAGTAAATCGATCAGTTTTTGGGAGAAGGATTTCTATATTTTGTATTAAGCACAGAGTTTGAAAAAAGAAGAAAGGTAAAGACAAATACTCCTCCATAAATCTTTCAACAAACGGAAACTGAACAGGTGGTCGACTAAGTAGTGAAATCTTTTACTGAAATGGTTTATTACTTTGATGATAGTAAAAGTCCGGAAAATAATAATAATAATCATCGTCATAAAAAAAGTTACTACTTTTCAATTAATATTAAACACAAAGTGGAGTTATATCTGTTGATTTTTTAGTATTAAGAAGAGGTGTATTTATAATTAGAGGGAAAATTATGTTAAGATACAAAGCAAATAACGCTGCAGTACTTTGAAACCCTATAGAAAAATGAAACGGTCAAGAATGAAACTCCTCCGACTGATCAGTTTGTCTGTTCTATTCACTTGCTGATCGTACTCATGTTTTAGAGTTCCATTTACTAACAATCGATTGCTTGTGGAATTCACCGATATTTTCACTCAGTATGTGGTGAGACATATACATGCCATGAAGGCCAGGAGATTTTAAAAAAATTTACTATACAACTCAGTGAGCCTTCGTGTGTAACTCTTGATTCATCTCAAGGATTAGTGAACCATTTCTAACTGGAAATACTTCTGTTCTGTGATAGATTGTGAGGACAAATTTTGATTTTGTGACTCAAATCCATCACTTTATAAGCCTTCATAAACAAATTTAGTTAGGTGTTTGAGAACACCTAATTCTCTTTAGTAATAAAGTGGTATTTTAGAATACTATTTCACTTTAACATGTCATCTCCCTTAGCTTGACTGACTGGTTGTTTAACTGAAAGATTATCCTATCTAACCTTATTAACAATCTGATTTTTAGAAAACTCACTCATCTCTACAACTATGCCAACATGATTTAACCCTGTGGTATTTTTAGACAATCAGCCGATGTATGTTTATTTAAACATTTGGAAGTGTTTGCATTAATTGGTACAAAGTCGACAAAACTCTACAAGCACAATGTTTTGATTTATCGGAACAACTGGATCCCAAGGACGATTGTTATACTCGCCTAGTCAACAGAAAGAAATATTGTCCTGAAACAACTTGCGAATTCCTTTCTATGCACAATTATATCATTTGAAATGAAAGGATACGTATGTATGCATGATAGATAACACTTTTTTTCTTGTTGTTGTATCATTGTTAATTTTGATTGACTACAACTACAAATAAGTGTTCATATTATCTATAGTACAGTGTAGTAGTAATAATATTGATACTACTTGCTCACAATACATTTGGTGTGATTGCATATGCATGTCTGAGTGGATTAATTAAGGAGTGAATGCATAATAATACTGTCTGTAGACTTTGTTTGACCCATAGCAGTAATCAGTAACCTTCTCATTGGAAAAATGTCATGTCTAGTTATCTACATAGTCCTCATGTCACTCAACACTGATCATATACTTGATGTATATTCTAATAAAAATATGAATAAATCACTATTAGTCTATGATGAAAATTTAAAGGTTATTGTAATCCCAAATCTACGCAGAATTAATTATCATTTCAGACTAGGAAGTATGGGAAGCCTGATAGTGAAAAATATTATAAATAAATAAATAGTTTAGATGGAAATATAGTTGTAAGCA